CTAAGGTTAAGGATTTGGTCAGTAAATCATTGAGGTGGGGGATGAGGATGGGGATGAGGATGGGGGCATCAGAGGATACCCAGCCCCAGTGACTCCCCGACTGAGGAGTGGGCTGGGGAAGGGTGCCAGGACTGGGGTAGGCAGGTGGCAATCACTGGTCAGCTTCACCAAAGACATCATTCTGTTTGCGCTTCATGTTCTCAAAGTCAAAGGCTGAGCCAACCATGCGTTTGTAGATGTCTTTGATGTCATTGCAGGTTGTCTCAAAGTGGGTAGTGGCATCATAGGAGCAGGAACAGAACACCTGGAAAAACCAGCCAGGGACCCAGAGTAGGGTGAGGTGGGGCAGAATGCTGGTGGGCACCAGCTGGGAGCCAGGGAGCTGGGGTGGATCTGCCTACCTGGCTCTCAGCGCCATCATCAATGGGTTCGTACAAGTCACTGATGGCCACAAACCTGAGGGGAGATGAGGAGAAAAGGATAGGCCTCAAAATAGGCTCCCTGCTCTCCTCAAAGTTTCTCCAACCCCTTTTCCCCCTGGAGTTCTGCAGGTTCTCCTCCAAAAAGCCCCTTGGCTTTCTTCTCCCCTGGGGCTCAGCCCAGCTTCTTACTTCTGGTCAATAGGCTCGAGTAGCTCCAGGGCCGGCTCTATCTCCTTCTCAGGCTCTGAGGTCTCCACCGTAGTGCTGGCAATAGCAATGTATTTGCCTTGTGCAGCAACGTTGTGTGCATAGGAGATCATGCACACGTAGATATCTGTTCAGGTAAATACCCAGTTAGTAAGGGCCTCAAACACAAGGCCATGCCTGCATGCAAGGGACCACTGCTACCCTCATGGGATGGAGGAGGCCAAAGGAAGCCATCTAAGCTCGAGTCTAGTTTTGCCCATGGAAGAATCAGGCAAGGGAGTCCTAGGACTGATAGGAACAGAAAAGGAACCCCAAGGAGAAAGCACAAAAGGAAGTGCCACCGTGACTGCCTACCTGACTTCCTGTTGACCTGGTTCTGAGGGATGATGATTTGGCAGGAGTTGGCATCATTGGTGTTCTTGATGGGGTGGCTCAGGATACAGATGATAC